GTTAATTTATTGCGCAAGAAAGCCCGATGGCTAAAATGGCCATTGGAGCTTTCTTGCGCAAGAGAGTGTCTACACTGGCACGGATGCTTTTGCGCAAAAGCAAATCTTTTGCGCAAAGGCACATGCCAGTATAGACGCTCTCTTGTGCAAATACTTTTAACGGAAAAACTTTTCCGTTAAAAGTATTTGTGCAAAATCATGCCAGTCTAGATGCAGCCTTAGTGTGTTCAAGAACACCTCCTAATTATAAAAGCTTGGACCACCAAATTCAATAAAATAAAATAACGTAAAGCAAGGTAAGGATTTGGGTTGTGCCAGGAAAATGGTTTTGTCATGGTTTTATGGGAGAGTGGAATGGGATTGCCTGTCATAAAACCATACAAAAAAGAGACAGACTCACCAGGCAGGTGAAAGGGGCTGGCTGAGGGCACACTCCCCCGGACTGCCCCAGCCCCATGCCTCCCACCCTCCAGGGCACCCTTTAAGGAGGGGTGGGGGCTTCAGCACCCCCTCCCTCCCACCCAATTTGTATGGAAACACGTCTGGCTGTTCCCCTTTGTCAGAGAGCAAGGGGAAAGTGCATACTTTGCTGCATTCCTTACTCTGGCTGGGGAGCACAAAGGGCAGACAGACTTGGATCTGCCCCAGCCCTCTCCCCCAGACTGCCTGCTGTAACTGCAGCAGCCAGGGAGCGGCGTGTCTTCCCTGGCCCCAAGCTGCTGCGATGAAAGAGGACGGGGGGTAGTCTTCTTTCCCTGGGGTAGAGTGCATTACTGAACCCCTCATCTCCAGTCCCTCCTCCCTGAGCAATTATTTGATGGAGAGTCATAGGGTGGCTCTGTGCTAGGGGACAAGAGGTGCTAGGGGACAAGGGGGCCCTCTGTGCTGTGTGGTCCCAGAGAAGGGAGGGGTCTGGGATGGAAAGGCAATGGATAGGGTCAACCTGGCACAGATGTGTTCTAGGAGGGAAAGTATCATAGAATCATAGGGTTGGAAGAGACTTTACTAGCCGATCGAGTCCAACCCCCTCCCCAAAGCTGACTGGTCTGTAGTTCCCTGGATTGTCCTTCTTCCTTTTTTTTTAAAGATGGGCACTCAATTTGCCTTTTTCCAATCATCCGGGATCTCTCCCGATCTCCATGAGTTTTCAAAATTAATGGCCAAAGGCTCCGCAATGACACTTGCCAACTCCCTCAGTACCCTTGGATGCATTAAATGCCCATGTATTTGTGTATGTTTAGCTTTTCTAAATAGTTTCTAACTTTTTCTTTCCCCACCAAGGGCTGTCTATCTCCTTCCCATACTGCGTTGCCTAGTGCATTAGTCTGGGAGGTGACCTTGTCCATGAAAATAGAAGAAAGCATTGAGTACTTCAGCTTTTCCCACATCATCTGTCACTAGGTTACCTCCCTCATCCAATAAGGCCCTCACACCCTGTCTGATCACCTTCTTATTGCTAACATGCCTGTAGAAACCTTTCTTGTTATCCTTCATATCCCTTGCCAGCTGCAATTCCAATTGTGTTTTCACCTTCCTGATAAGTCCCCTGCATTCTCAAGCACTATATTTATACTCCTCCCTAGTCATCCGTCCAAGTTTCCACTTCTTGTAAGCTTCTTTTTTGTGTTTAAGCTCACCAAGGATGTCCCCGGTAAGCCAATCTGGTCGCCTACCATATTTGCTTTTCTTGCTGTGCATTGGGATGGTTTCTTCCTGTGCCTTTAATAAAGCTTCTTTAAAATACTGCCAGCTCTCTTGGACTCCTTTCCCTTTCATGTAAGCATCCCTGGGAATCCTGCCCATCAGTTCTCTGAGGGAGTCAAAGTCTGTTTTTCTGAAGTCCAAAATGTGTATTTTGCTACTCTCCTTTCTTCCTTTGGTCAGGATCCTGAAATCTACCATCTCATGATCACTGCTTTCCCGGTTGTCACCCACCTCTACTTCCCATACTAGTTCCTCCCTGTTTGTGAGCAGCAGGTCAAGCTACGTATGGCCCCTGATTAGTTCCTTCAGCACTTGTACCAAGAAGTTATTCCCAACATTCTCCAAAAACTTCCTGGGTTGTCTGTTTACTGCTGTATTGGTCTCCCAACAGATGTCAGGGTTATTAAAGTACCACATGAGAACCAGGGCCTGCAATCTGGAAGCGTCTCTCAGTTGTCCGAAGAAAGCCTTGTTTACCTCATCCACCTGATTCGGTGGTCTATAGCAGTCACCTACCACAACATCATCCCTGTTGCTTCCACCTCTAAACTTAACCCATAGACTCTTAACAGTCTTTTCTCCCTCTAAATACTGGAGTGCTGAGCAATCATACTGCTCTCTTACATACATTGCAACTCCTCCTCCTTTTCTCCCCCACCTGTTCTTCCTGAACAGTTTATACCCTTCCATGACAGTGCTCCAGTCATGTGAGTCATCCCACCAAGTCTCCATTATTCCAATCAAATCATAGTTCTTTGACTGGGCCAGGGCTTCTAATTCTTCCTGTCTGTTTCCCAGGTTTCTTACATTTGTGTACAAACATCTTTGATAGTCAATTGATTGCCCTACCTTCTCCATTCGAGTCAGGGGTCCTCCTTTGTTGCTCGTTCCTCTTTGTGTTTCTTCCCCGTATCTGACTTCCCTCTGCAGTACCACTTGTTCACTCACCAATTGGAAATGCAGGAGCTGTCTGCAGGTAGGAACTGTTCAGCAGCAGGGCGGACAGGTTTAATCCTCCTCTTTACGGTTCTGGCTGGAGGTTTCTGCTGTGCCCTTCCAGGATTATATCCTTTTCCACACCTTGTTTCTGGGGTGTCACTGACCCTGCAGTCCCATTGTGAAACTCCAAAAATGTTGTTTAAACACTAAAATAGGAAACAATAGGAAAAAATAAAAATAACAATCAATATTAATTATCAAATTTACAAAATAAAATTGAATTCTGCCAAGCATGTTAGTGGTCTAGGTCAGTATTTCTCAACCTTTTTTTAAATAAAGTACCCCTTTTAAACAAAAAAAAAGTATAAGTACCCCCAGTACCTACAGTTTTCAGACACATAATTTTTTTCTACCATTGCATCATATTTGTTTAAACAACTTAATCGTAGCTGGGTGGGCGATTATATTTTTCGGTGTAAAAAGTACAAAAATAATAAAGTGCTGTAAAACTTTAAACAAAAATTCACTTTTCTCAAAATTTCAGTTGAGTTGACGTACCCCTCAGACTTCTTTCGAGTACCCCTAAGGTTCCTTTACTACTGATTGAGAAACACTGCTCTAAGTTATCAAAATTGGCAAAATCTGCATTTCAAACATCATCACAATGGTATCCACATCTGGATACCAGACTACACACACTTATTTTTCTTTATCATGTTTCCTTCTTGTGCTAGTGAAAATGTTCATGTATGACTATCTCAAAGAACAAGAAAAATTTGTTGTCTGGAGGCTCACTTTGTACTTTGTTTTGGTTTTACTACTGTAAAGCACACATTTCCCTGGACATTTGGCATCACTAGTATACATTTTTAAACACCAAAACTCTTATTCTTCTTAGGGTTTGAGAAGAATAACCAATTTATGCTGACCCTTGCTCCCTAGTGAACAGGAAAAGAAAATTCAAGCTGTCTTCCCTTCCGAGTGTTGGGACTTAGCATAGTTGAAGTTGTGAGCACAGGAACCTGTTTTCTGCAGGCTTAATGTTCTCTGGAGTTCTTACTAGAGGGCTGTGTCTACATTAGCAAGATTTTTTTTGCGTAAAATCTTGCCGCCTGTCTACACTGGCTGCGAGTATTTGCGCAAGAACACTGACATTGTAATGTACAAAATCAGTGCTTCTTGTGCAAATACTCTGACACTCCCGCTTAGGGATAAGCTCTCTTGCACAAGTATTCTTGCGCAAGAGGGCCAGTGTAGACAGCAACGTTTATTTCTTGCACAAGAAAGCCCGATGGCTAAAATGGTCATCGGAGCTTTCTTGTGCAAGAGAGTGTCTACACTGGCACGGATGCTTTTGCGCAAAAGTAAATCTTTTGCGCAAAGGCACATGCCAGTATAGACGCTATCCTGCACATATACTTTTAACGGAAAAACTTTTCCGTTAAAAGTATTTGCGCTAAATCACGACAGTGTAGACGCAATCGAGTAGTATGACTGTCTACTATCTCTGGCTTGTGCCTAACAGGAATCATCTGGCCCTTGAAGCATAATTTAAATGTAAAATAATTGAAAATAAAGCTTGGTTGAAGAACTGAAACTGGTATTTGTTTTTGCCCATATAGTTCATGTAGACTTGTGTGTAAAAAGCTCTTGCTTCAGTTCAAAATTTTCAAGCAAATCATGAAATGGTTCACTTTATGATAATGCTGATTTGTTTATTGGAAGTAAAAACAGTTCATGCATCTCTGTTTCCTCTACTTCCTTTTCTCATTTATATGTAAAAGTTCATTGTAGTTGTTTTTTCAACAAATATTTTCTTAAAAGACCACACAGCAATTTTATCTAACTTGGCTGAAGTGAAGGGATCTGCACAAAAGCCATATCTAAATACGAGTGGATGCAGATAGGAAATCAGATGGACAGTTCTCCCTAATGAACTCTTAAAAGTATTAATTTAAGGAGCTGGTATGTAATGAAAATTATTTCTAACTTTAAAGAATCAACATGATATTTACTTTTAGACCATCTGAGGGTGGCTACATAAAAGGATCATTTTCTGGAGGAAAGAACAGAGGAAGGAAATCTGGTTCTTCCCTCTATCTTGAACTCTTTATGTGACTTCATGCAACTCACTAATTCAACCTCTCTGGGCCTCACTTTTCCCCGTAGAACTGAGACAATATCTCAGAGATATTGTTTGGGTAAGTTAGCTAATTTCTTTAAAGGGTATAATCCTCAGATGGCAGGTGCTAGATTCTGTAAGTTTAGGACATTATTATGACCTATCCTAATAAAATGTTATTTTACATACATATATTTTATAATATAAAGTTGAAATTTGTTTGGCATGTTTTCAGAGTTTGGTAGTCCTTGGCCACGTTAGAAGAATGAAGGAACTTTCTGTATCTGAATGTAGGAAGATCACTGATTTGGGGATTCAGGTAAAATTAATCAGATCCTTTGATAGAGATGTAGACTGATGTCCTCCTAGCCATCCCTCTGCTTTCTGAGATTAACTATGTCTAAAACTGAGCTTCTTTCTTTTTCTTCCTTCTCATTCACTATCCATCAGCCAATCGTGCAGTCTTACGCTACGTCTAGACTGTATCCCTCTGTCGACAGAGGGATGCAAATCAAGCACATCAAAATTGCTAATGAGGCAGGGATTTAAATATCCCGTGCCTCATTAGCATAAACATGGCCACTGCTTTTTTTCAAAGCGCAGTTTTTCGAAAAAAACAAAAACAAACAAAAAAAGGCAGTCTAGACGCGGATCTGTCAAAAATAAAGCCTTTTTTGACAGATCCTCATCTAGACTGCTGGTTTTAGTTTAGAAAAAACTCCATTTTGAAAAATAGTGGCGGCCATGTTTATGCTAATGAGGCATGGGATATTTAAATCCCTGCTTCATTAGCTATTTTGATGTGCCTAATCTACATCTCTCTGTCGACAGAGAGGTGTAATCTAGACACACCCTACATGATACCGCTCATTTTTCTCTTTCCTTTTGCCAGCATGTTATGGCCATCAGTGAATTTTAAATTTTCACTCCTATATTATCTCTAAAATACTCACCTTTCTAAAAATCAACTATTGTAACATTCTCCTTTGTATCCTGCTCAGTCTCCTCTTCTCTCAATCTGAAATACAGCAGCTAAATATCTTCCTGTAATATTGCATTAACTGTGACTCTCCAATTATGTAGACCCTTCATTAACTTTTTACGTATCAATTCTAAATTCATGAGCCTCACTTTCAAAAACCTTCACAACTGTGATCCTGCTTGTAGCTTGTCTTTGTTTACAACTCTTCCCCATCTCAGTCTGACCTTATAGAGTTTCAATAGAAATATTTTGATGTCATAAATATTTTTGTTTCCAAAATGGTTGATTTATGCTACAATTTTGAAGTTTTAATGTTGGGCTGCATACAAAATAAAGATGCTGTTTGGTTACAGTTGTGACCATGAGATGTATGCCTTAAGGTATTGCTTTATATTTTTTCTATATAATGGTAGTCTAAAAATAAAACATATTCAGTATCTTAGTTTAGAAGGTGTTCTCCATTAACAATCACGCTAACTGCAATTATATCTTTACAAGGTAATCAGAAAGGGAAAATTATATAGTCTAGCAACAGCCTTTGTTTTGAAACCACCCTCAGCTTGAAGTTCCTGTGGAGGGAAACTCTTACTGAAATTATATGTTAACTAGGGATGTAAAATCCCATTTAATTGGTTAACTGGTTAATCGTAGTGTTGAACTGATTAACCAATTAAAGAGGGTTGGGTGAGCTGAAGTGCCCCCCCTCCCTCCCAGTTGGAGCAGTCCCTGCCTACAACAGAGGGGGCACTCGAGTCCAGGGCTGAGGTAGGCAGGGTGCTCTGTGGCCCCATACAGGACTGGGAGCTGATAGGCAAAGGGCTATTCCCGGGTACCAGGTAACTTTTCACAGATTTTTTTCACAGAAAATGTCACTTTTCCTATACAAATGGAAATAAATTTAAAATTTTCAATTTCAACTGAAAATTTTGTTTTGTTTAGAAAAAAATGTATGAAAAATTAAATGTCATTGAAATCAAACATTCTTGAAACATTTCAATTTCAATGACACTGCATTTTTCTACAAAAACAGATTGAGTCAAAAAATTTTGATCATCTTTAGTATTGACGTGAGTGTGGGAGAAGGAAATGAAGAGACTAGATGAGCATCAAGCGAAGAGGGAGTTTTGGAAGGTGAAAGGTAACAAGGCCAGAGAGGTAGGAAGAAGCTTGTTTGTGGAAGATCTTGAAGGAGCTTGAATTTGATGGAGGAGACAATAGGGACAAAGTGATGGGATTTGCGGCAGAATTTTGGCCACTGTGTGGCTATGTCTACACTGGCGGCTTCTTGCGCAAGAAAACGTCCACACTGCCATTTGGGAGATGTGCTTTTGCACAAGAGCATCCATGGTAGTGTGGACACTCTCTTGCGCAAGAAAGGTATGATGGCCATTTTAGCCATAGGGCTTTCTTGCACAAGAAATCCCTGCCGAGCATCTACACTGCCCTCTTGCGCAAGAGCTCCTGCGCAAGAGGGCTTACACCTGTTAAAAAAGAGCGTAGTTCTTGCGCAAGAAGCCTTCTCTTACCATGCCGTACTGTAAATTTCCTTGCGCAAGAGCAGTCAGGCAGTGTGGCTGTACTTGCGCAAGAAGCCACGAGTGTAGACATAGCCTGTGTGTGGATGAGATGAGTGTCAGGCAGGTCAAAGGAGGAGGTAGTTGATATGTAATATGTGACCAAAACTTGACCAACAGTTTTTTCTGTGGAAGTGGATAAGAATAAGCATTTTTTAAAAGGAATTTAGTGATAGTATCTATGTTGAGGTAGAGAGAGGCTGCAAGCCCTGGAGACAGAAAGGATGATGGAACAGAGCTAGGTAGAAAATCAGAAAAACAGAGTCTCTGCAACCAGGGGGAAAGAGCATGTTTGTGGCTAGATTGAGATGACTGAAAATAAAGATCTTTCTGAATTGACCTTCATTCTGAATAAGACAGACTCCTATGCTGACTTCTATCTCAAATTTAATGAGCCAGAATGGCTACCTGTAATGGAGAGAAAATGGTCTGTGTTTTATTCATTTATCATAAAGCAGGTAATAGTATTATTATAGAATGTTCTTTGATTACTCTATAAAAGATGTTATATTATTTACCTTCTCTGCATTTTCTCAAAATCAATATGGATACATACATTTCCTACTTTGCATATCACAATGACATTAAAACAACATGAATTAGGAACTTAAGACTATTAACCTTGCCAGTGGGCAATGAGATTGGAGTTATATCTTACTTCAAATGAGAATAACAGTTGGAATTGGATATAAACTTCAGCTGCAGTTTATACTTAAAATTGCAGTTGATAAATACTCCTCACCATATGTGACAGAGAAATGCTGAGATCTCCTATTCACTTGCCATCACACTTATGCCATAAGCAGTGGGGACCCCCATAGCTGCAAGTGTTGGCATTTGCTATTAGGTAAGCCTAGTCTTTGACTCCCACAGCTTTTTCCATTGTAGGACTTCAAATCGGTCCCTCTAA